GGGAGGGAGAGAAGGGAAAGGGAGGGAGAGAAGGGAAGGGGGGGAGAGAAGGGAAGGGGAGGGAGAGAAGGGAAGGGGAGGGAGAGAAGGGAAGGGGAGGGAGAGAAGGGAAGGGGAGGGAGAGAAGGGAAGGGGAGGGAGAGAAGGGAAGCAGAGATGCTGAGAGAGAGACCTATGCCTCGGACTTCCTGGATTATCTGAATTTTCCAGGAAACTTTAGTGGATCCCTGTTCCTTAAACCCTCTATACTTTTTGAAACTTTCTCATCAACCTTTAAAAAGAAACTTGTGGACTCATTTGTCTTTCATCTTTTCAGTTTTCCCCCATTCTTCTTCCTGTGACCTAAGTAATCCAATAGCTAGAACCAAGAGAAAAGTGAAATAGAAAACAAGCCTGGATAATCCACAAACATAAAAACCAGGCACTGAAGGGTAGAACTTGATTATTTTCTGCTAAACCCTCGGTATTTATAACCCCTCTGCTCCCCTCTGTGGATAAAGGCAGAATTGAGAGGATTTTTTTTTTAATTCTATAAAATCGAAAAGCAGAAGCAAAATGAAATTCTTCTCTTCCTATGACTTTTTTTTGTGACCATGAAATGAAAACATCAGTGCACTTCCTTATAAAAAATGTGGGTTTTTTTTTTTTTGCTGATTCAACAACCTCCCCCACTTAAGTCTAAGGAATTCTAAACACATACCTGGATCTTACCTCTAAAATGCCAGGCAGAGGGTTTGAGCGGGAAAAGCCAGAGGGGGCCGTCATTTTGCTATAGGTTAGCTAGAAGACTAACACCCCTCGTCCACGTGAATCTACTTCACACCAAAGCAAAGAAAGGGAGGGCGTGTCTCCCTTTATGACCAATGATAATGATCCCCTATAGCAGCTGAAGGGTTGATGGAGGCTCTGAGAATAGTTTCATCTTGGGCTGTTTGGCTTTCAAAGCTCCTTCTGTCAACCTGCAGAGAAGGGTCTCCTGGGCTCCTCTGTTTTTATCTCCTCCTATCTGCTATTGTTTTCCCTTGCTCAGCATTGCACAGAATATGTTAGTAATGAAGAAACTGTGGTGCAAAGCTTAAGCCTCTGGACGCCAGAGACAAACCTCTAGGATTCAAACCTTGCCTGTGCCACTTACAAATAGATTGATCTCTCCGAGCTTCGGTTTCCTCATCTGCAAAACGGGTGATATTACTACTTTCTACCTGCAGGACTAAGTGAGGTGCTATTTGTGAGGGGTCCAGGATAGTGTCTAGTATGTAATGCACCATAATAAGTGCTTGGTAAATCAGCAAACCTACTCCAGGGAAAGGAGACTCCTCCAAAAAAGAAGAGCCAGGCTGGTGGAAGTGGAGCTTTCTTTGAAAAGAACCATATTGTGCTTCTTGATATAGTGATTTGTTTTCTTTGCAGGAAATTTCCATTTCATAATTAATCTCTACCAGGCCACTGACTATTCTAAAGTAAGAGGGTTTTTCAAATAATAGGAAACGTGCTTTTGGAAAAAAAAAATTAAAAACAGAAACGTACTGTTTAAATATAGTTTAATTAACTGGCAATTGTGGGCATGGAAATCAGCAAAAACGAAAAAGAATGAAAGAGTTCAAGGTAGTTG